ATCCCTGCCTGGCTCCTGGCTCCTGATCCCTCTCCCGTGCCCCAGGATCCCCCTGCGGAAGGGCAAGACCCTGCGGCAGTCCCTGCAGGAGCACGGCTTGCTCGAGCGCTACCTCAAGCAGCATCCCTACAACCCGGCTGCCAAGTACTCCAAGTACTACAGCTCCGGCGTCTCTACTGAGCCCATGCAGAACTACATGGATGTGAGCATGGCAGGGAGAGGGGTGGCCCCTTCCCATCCCGCTGCCCCCTCCCCACCCCTCTAGCCCCTTACCTGCTCCATTAGCTCCTTACCCATTCCCCTAACCCATTCCCCCCCCCACCAGCCCTTTACCCGTCCCAATAGGTCCTTACCTTTCCCTCTAACCCTTTGCCCATTCCCCTGACCTGTTAACTTATCCCACTGGCCCCTTCCCCATTCCCTTAACCCATTCCCCATCCTGCTAGCCCCTTATAGAATCATAGAATAGTTACGGTTGGAAAGGACCTTAAGATCATCTAGTTCCAACCCCCCTGCCATGAGCACGGACACCACACACTAAACTATGTTGCCCAAGGCTCTGTCCAATCTGGCCTTGATCACTGCCAGGGTTGGAGCACATCCTTTACCAGTTTCCCTAACCTATTGAGTCATCCCACTAGCCCCCTAGCTGTACCACTAGCCCTTTACCCATTCCCCTAACCTGTTAACTCACCCCACTGGCCCCTTACCTGCACCACTAGCCCCGTACTTGATATGCTGTTCCCTACCTGTCCCTCTAATCCTTTACCCGTTCCCATAACCCATTAAGTTATTCCACTAGCCTCTTACCTGTTCCACTAGCCCTTTAACTCATCCCATTAGCCACTTACCCATTCCCCTAACTCATCTCAGTAGCCCCTTACCTGACCTGCTAGTTCCTTACCTGTCCCTCTAATCCTTCACCAGTTCCACTCATCCCACTAGCCCCTCACGCATCCCATTAGCCCCTTACCCATCCCATTAGCCCCTTACCCATCCCATTAGCCCCTTACCCATCCCATTAGCCCCTTACCCATCCCATTAGCCCCTTACCCATCCCATTAGCCCCTTACCCATCCCATTAGCCCCTTATCCATCCCATTGTCCCATTATCCATCCCATTAGCCCATTACCCATCCCACTAATCCCTTATCAATCCC